AATAATAATAATAATAATAATAATAATAATAATAATAATAATAATAATAATAATAATATTTCTCACCACTGAACATTTTGTTAGAACCTCTTGTTCAACTCTATAAAGATCCTTTTGAATCTTGAGCCTGTCTCCTAGGATGTTAGCAATCCCCAACTTTGTGCCATCTGCAAATTTTATAAGCATGCCTTCTATTCCCTCACCTAACTCATTTATGAAGATACTGAAGACTATTGGGCCCAAGACAGAACCCTGAGGTATGCCGCTGCATACCTCCCTTCATGTGGAACACAGTCCCATTAAGGAGCAGGCACTGGCTATAGTTATTCAGCCAACTACAAATCCATCTGGTAGGGGGATCATTCATCCCATATTGTTCCAATTTATCAAGAAGCTATGGTCTATTTTATCAAATGCCTTATTAAAGTCTAAATACACTACATCCACAGCATTTCCTTGGTCCACTAACCTAGTCACATTGTCAAAGAAAGCAAAGAAAGGATTTGAAACTATGCCTCTATTGATGCAGCCTAAAATTGTATTTGCCTTTTTGGCAGCAACATAAGACTTCTGATTCATTTTTACTATGCAATTAACTATTATTCCAATATCTTTTTGTGAGAGTTTTTACCATTGCAAGTATTTTCTATGCTATTTGATTTCTATTTTTGAAGAAATTACTCTACCATTCTTTCTGTTAAATTTAATTTCTCTATTTTCTCTAACTTATCAAGAATATTATGAACGTTTTTTTCTGTGTTTTAGCATATGAGTTATGCTACCCAATTTTTGAAAACTGACAGGTCTCTTAAGCATTTTCACCACCTCCTCATACAAATCAAGAATAAAAACATTGACAAATACAGTGCCCAGAACTGAATTTTCTGACACCCACTTAATACCTCATTCCAGCTTAATGAAAGTCCTTTCATGAACATTCTTTGAGTATAATTTTAAAGACCAGCTATGTACCTACTTAATCATCATGCCTTCCAACCTACATCTAACAAGGTTGCTAGTCATAGGACACTTTGCTAAATCCTTTGCTGAAATCAAGATATATTATGTCTATGTAATTTCCACAAATCTACTGAAAAAGCTATCCAATAAAAAATGAGATAAATAATCTAATCTAAAAATAAAATCAGGTTATTCTGACAAAATTTGTTCTTAACAAATCCATGTAGATTTCTGGTAATTATTAAAGGAAGTTTCCACACTTCTATTCATTATCTTCCAGAAATCCAGGAGAATGGGTGAAGCATCAGATGACTAGAGGGAGGAAAATATTGTTCCTATCTTCAAAAAGAGGAAAAAGTAGGGTCTAGATAGTGATTTCCCAGTTGTCTGACTGGGAAAGATTCTAGAGCAGTTCATGAAGTGATCAATTTGTAATTATCTTAAATCAATACATTGATAACTAAGTCAGAATAGATTTTTCTACAGTAGCTTCTGTTAGACTAATTACATTTCTCATAACTTTCTTAAGAGATTGTGAGAATGCTGTGGACATACCCTGACTTTACAAAGGATTTTAAAAAATATCCCATGACATTCTGATTAGCAGTTTAATTTAGCTTGGGCTGAATGGCATGTCTACAAGGTAGTTCTACACCTAGCCTCCAAAGTGCACTCACCAACAATTCCTAAACAAAGTAGAATGAGAGATCAAGTGGGGTGCCACAGAATTCAATTCTATGGCTTGAATAAAAAATTGGAATGAGCGCAGGAGGCATGACCCACTGCTTTAAACACAGGTTATTCAGAGCTTATCAGTAAGGTAATATTTCACTGATATTTTGAGGATTTTTGCTAGGATACTTTACGTGTGTGTGTGTGTGTGTGTGTGCGCGCGCGCGCGCATCTATCTGTCCATAAACCAGGACTATCACAAGACAGGTGAGAAACTACCCTGTCGTCAGCGATTAGCCAGAATAGACTGCCAGCTTCCACTTCTCTAGTTCTGAAATGAAGCTTGCTATAGTTCCAACTCAGCTATAGTTACAATTTTGTAGGTTTAGGCATACAAACATGAAAGGGAAACAATAGTCGATTGCTAACGTAATATCAACTTTCTTTTAATCTGCTGTTTAAACTTTTTTATGTATACCTGAAAGGAAGAAGATATGCAAATATGTGTTCTCTATTGTTTCAAAGCATAGGACCTAGAACGATGTACTGAAATTAAAGGAAGGCAAATTCAAGCTAAATATTAGAAAAACCTTCCAAACAGCAGTTTGACAGTGTATTTTCTTTTAAATTTCCTATTTAGAAATTGAGCTCAAAGTCCAGCTGCAACAAAAGTAAAGACTTCAAGGATTATAATGGGTTCCAAGGCCCTATAGAATTTTGTTTGTAGATCTGGGTTTGTTTAGACATGCATGGTTTGTGTTTTATTGTTTTCAATGTAAGCCACTCAGAGTTTTACAGGGTTCAGCAGCCTCTAGATCTCAAATAAATAAATAAACAAATAAATAAAGGACTCTGAAGCTGAATTAGATCTTGAAACATGATTATCAAATGTATATATTATACATTTGATAATCAGGCAAATTTTAACTAACATAAAGTAAAATGAGATTTGGACATTATAATATATGTATCAGATTGAGTAAAACTGTTTAGATGAAGAATATTTGGATCCCTGAATACAGTTATTAAATATAAACCTTTTGCAAAGTTATTTTATCTAAAATATTTATTTATTGCTTTTCAGCCCCAAAAAAGGCAAAGTAGTTTGCACTACTGGCAAACACATCAGAATAAAGTTGCCTACATTCTCAGCAGAGCAACAACATTTATAATGTACCCAAGTTAACAAGGCAAAACATAGTTCAGCAAACAAAATGTAGTGCTACAATCTAACATTAGAAATGTTATCTTATTTAGTAGTTATATAAGAGGATTGAGTAACTGTGGTACTCCACAGAACAAGTGATCCAGTGAAGGGTAGTGGCTAAATATCTGAATAGAGCAGAGAATAAATTTCCCACTGAGCCTCAGCTATTTACAGTATGTCAATCTAAACTATCTCAGGTAGGCCAACATAGCCTCATTGGGAATTCATAAACAAAGAATACATAATTATTTTTAAAATTTTCTAGGTCAGCCTAATTATCAATGTTATTTTGAAAAAATGTTGATTGCAAAAAAAAAATCTAAAAAATCCTGACAATAAGATCTTACAGACATTGTAAGTACCTACAATATGTATGAAATCACTACTATAATTTCTGTGCCCTGAGGTAGTTTAAGAAATGCAAGTAATTGTAAAAAGACAGAAACCACCTTTTGTTTTTAATCAGTACATTAAATCTCTCTGATAACGTCAAAAATAAAATTTTCTGTGATAACTCCATTCCAATTTGATTGTGATGTGTTTGGGTGAATTTCATATTGGTTCCTTTGATATGCTTTTTCTATTTCCTTGGACTTGTAATAACTGCAAAAATGTAACATAATTTCATTTGCTGAAACAACCTCCAAAAGCAATGTCATCATGACCACTCTCCCCCTCCCCCGGGTCATTTGGCTTCCCCACCACTGCTCTATAGACTGCTACACAAAAGTCAGTGATCATCACACACCAGCCAACAATGGAAACATTTATTGAAATCACATAACAGGTAAAATAACTTTACCTGAACAAAGCTGGGAAGGAAAATTAGCATATATAAGCCCCAAAAGAAAGGAATTAATGATACAATGGAAGGAAGATCAACACTATTCCCTGAATGTTTCATTTTTTAAAAAAATTGATAACTAACTGCAGCCAGTTTGAAGCATGGCATCTAAAACTGTATCCACCAAAACCTTACTGCTTAATAATATTTCCAGGATGCTATACAACTTGCAAACCATATATCACTTCTCTATACGGCCAAGTTCCCTATCATACAGTTCAGAACATTTTGTAGGAGATAGCTTTCCTTCCTTTGAATTCCCGCAGCAGTAACCTTTGCTCTGCATGTGCTCATAATCTAACCTTTTACATATTCCAGAGAACTTCCCCTCAGCAAAGACTCCCCACACCATCCTAGCTGTAGAGTCAATACCATTTCTGCATGCAAAAATCTTACATCCATAGCCCATGTCACTCCACTGAGAATGTTCAATTTTACCATACCATGTCTTCAAATGTACTAAGGCTCCAATGCCATCAAATTCCTACAGAAGAAATCAGTGCTGGATATCTGTATGGAAATATGGCTGGAATATGGGATACATAAACAAAGACTCAGCTGCAGGACTTTAAAGCCTGTTTTATAGTAATGAGCACCAAAAATTAGAACTGAACGCATCCTGATGCATAGATCATTGACCACTGACAACCCAAACCCTTTATGTTCCACGCAAGTGTCAGGATTCATTTTCCTAAATGCAATCAGCCTACTCTGGTTTACCTCAACTATGCAATCTTCTCCCTACTCTCACACACTTATTCCCTTAATTTGCTGTGCTGAATGATGCCTTTTCTAAGCAGTCCTATGAATGTAACATGCATCTGGACACTGCAGGCCTTCAACCTGCATTATGCCAATCCATTCATGCAAAGTGGGCCAAGTCCATTTCACTCCCACACCTCTGTCCATATGGCCCTGCTGTAGCATGAGGGGATGGTGGGAGGGTGCAGCACAATCTCTCCTACCTGTTTATTGGTGTATTTCTGAGGGTTGGTACGGTAGCTGTAGTCTGAATACTGCTCCGAGCCTGTAGAATTGCTGTCCCCAGTGCCCACAAATGTATTGGTGGCTGGGAGGTCCTGTACTACCTGATGCTTCTTGGAGGCAGATGGTGATTGGGGTTGCAACTGAATGGAAGGCAAAGGTGAATTGGAGCGGTAATGGCGGCCCAAGTCAGGGCTTCCAGGTGGATAATTAAGAGGCAGGTGGATGCGGGGACTGTCACTAACTGAATCATTCATAAGGTTGAATTTAAGGGATTTCTGCAGACCTGTTTCTTCTTCATCCTCAGATGGTTTTGGTGGCTTAGGGGATTTGCTTTTTTTCACCTTGCTTTTGGCTTTGTTCCCTTTGCTACCTTGCTTGGGAGCATATAGATCCTTAGTTTCCTTTTTGCCAGCTTGATAGCCACTTTTGGCTTCCTTTTGACGGCAATAGCGCACCAGCACGACAAGCAAAATAATCAAGGTGACAGCTACTATGCCCGCAATTACTCCAAACAAAATATTACTGCGTTGCTTGTTGCGCTCATACTCTGGGTCACCAGCAATATCAATGTCAATAGGTGTGTCCAAGCTGTGTCCCACTAGGGTCTCCAGCAGTGTCCGGTTAGCCAGTGTTTCATTAACATAAAAATGAACTAATGCTGTGCCATGGTGAGAAGGCTTCCCTTTGTCATTTACATGTACAACCAAGCGGTGAAGTCCATGATGCTTGCGGAGAATTTCTTTTTCTAGTGTGATATTTCCACTTACAGATGAAATCTTGAAGAGCTCAAAGGGGTTTCCACCAGCAATTCTAAATAGTAGTTCGGCATTAATCCCAGAATCAATGTCTTCAGCTCCAACACTCATGACCTGCTGCCCAGGACTAGTGTTGGGTAGAATATGTTTATAGGAAGCATTGGATGGAGATATAATTACAGGAGCATTGTCATTTTCATCTAACACATTGATTGTCACCCCCACATAAGCAGATCGAGGTGGGTCACCCCCATCCACAGCTTTAAGCCGGAAAGTGTAAGTACTCTGCCGTTCACGATCAAAAGATATGCTGGAGAGAATGGTTCCAGTACCATTTTGGATTACAAAGTCACCATTGTCCTGTTCCACTGAGAGTTGAATGACAGCATTATCTCCTTTGTCTGCATCAATAACTGTCACCATGCCCACTGGACTCAAGGGTGGCATGTTTTCCATCACAGAAAAATTATAGCCACTTAGCATGAATTTTGGATCATTGTCATTGCGGTCCATGACATTGATGGCAATTGAGGCAGTTCCCTTGCGGCTAGGGCTACCCTTATCAGTTGCAACTACCAAGAATTCATAGCGTTCTTGCTGTTCCCGGTCCAGCACATTCTTTACATGGATTTCACCAGATTCTGGATCAATTGAGAAGATATCTTTTGATAAAGATTCTCCAGCTAGAGAGTAGACCAGTTTAGCATTAGATCCACTATCTGCGTCTGTAGCACTCACTTCTACTACCAAGTCATCTGGGGAATTATTCTCAGGAAATGCCACCTCTGTTGAACTCTGGCTGAACACTGGATCATTGTCATTGACATCCATCACCTGCACTTTGAGGGAATTAGTGCTTGACAGGGGTGGATTGCCAGAATCCACAGCTACAATTTCAATGGTATATTCTTTCACTGCTTCATAATCCAGAGGTGTAGTGGTCTGTAGAAAATATTTCTTTTTGCTATCACTGCCAGTATCACTGGCTTGTCGCAGCTGAAAAGGTACATCACCAGCCACTACACAAGTTACAACAGCATTTTCACCCTCATCCCGATCAGACACCTGTACCAGAGCCACAGGTGTCTCAACTGGCACATCTTCAGAAATATTGGCAATGCCATCCTGATGAGTGACCAAACCAATGCCACGAATTTCAATGGATGGAGCATTATCATTCATATCCCTGACACTGATCACTACCTGGGCACGGGCAGTTTTGGGGTTAGCTCCCTTGTCCTTAGCCAACACTGAGAACTTGAGCACGTTGATGTCTTCACGATCAACAGGACCCTGTACAGTGATGAGTCCAGTGGCTCTGTCTAGGCGAAGTAGCCGGTGAATTACATCTGAAGCCTGATGGAAGGAATAGTCAATCTCAGCATTGGCACCCTGATCAGAATCATTGGCTTTCACCTGCAATGAAAAAAAGAATTTGATCAGGTAATACTTCAGTGTTTTCAAGCATTGGGAGCTAGTTCCGGAGAATTTAAAATATCATCACCTAACTGTAATTAAACAGAAGCAGAAATTATTAAATAATTACAGAATATTACATTTACATTGAATCAAATTTAGTTTTTGTCCTGGTCCCACTGTCTATTTTTTGGAGTGCAATTTTTGGCAAGTGTGAGCCTCTCAACTGCATATTTAGCTATTACACAGTATAATGCAGAACTGGGCAACTACACAGACAATATATGATCTTCAATAACAACAACAAATACTATGGCCTACAAAACATCAAGGATCCCTACTTGCTTTTTACTACTGAGTTGATGGGGAAAGGTCGCTGGTTGTCCTTTATGGCGAGAGAGAGAGAGAGAGAGAAAGAGCGAGAGCAATCTTGAACAGGATCACTGGGGAAGGAACAAAGCTTGCCTCTTCCTTCCAAAAAAGTACAGCCCTGGATCCAGCTTCCTTTTTAAAAAGTGCATCCCCCTCTAATAATCAAAGCAACATTCAGAACTGAAAAGGTTATCCATCTCTGCTATTGAGTGACATTTAAAACTGAGTAAACCTTACTAACTTCAGGAACACCAGTGCACTAGAGCTGTTGCTTGTGGTCCACCCATAGAAGTTATATCTAATATGAGTGAGCAGGAAGTTGAATGGGATATACTGTCAATATAGAGTATTTTAGCAAGAGGTTTTTGATTCTCTCATGTTTTAATAGAAACAACAAAAAAGAGTGGGTTACTTATTTGTAACTAATTCTTCTAATTGTCACCTATGAACTTCCACTCAAAATATTCCTAAGTTAAGATTTTGGCAGGAACCTTGCTCTTTCTGTATCATGCATCCTCTAATGTGCAGTTCCGGTCATTTCCCCCTTGGTTCTGAAGACTCAAGCAGCAGACATGATAGCAAATCACAAGTGATACTGCCTGGAGATAGGGAACGGGGTGAGTTGTGTGAATAAAGTGATAATCAATTCTTTCTGTTAGGAGTCTAACAGATGAACAAAAGAAAGCATTGCTCTGACAAATAAATCATAGAGAAATTGCAGATCAAGCCAAAATGCCAAATGAAGATAGAAGGCTACAATTAGGTAGGATTCTTTCATATCTCCAGCAAAGGAATTTCCTTCAGAAATGCACTTCATGTTGCAATCACTCTCATGAAATGTGCCAAACTAAAACAGGCAAATTGCTTGGCCAGATGACAACCAGATTTGATCATTGAGATCATTTAACTGATACAGTTAAAATATGTTTGAGGGGAGTCAGTAGTTCCTTTTTTCATGTCTAGTTGCCAATCCTTTTTGAAAACACTTTCAGAATACTTGAAGCCTATCACTTTTCTGCTATTAGGAATATGTGGATAGGGATGCTTGGACTGGAGAGGATATGAGGAAAATTCATTGTTTTATTAAAAGAAGGACTGAAATGGCCTTGGGAAAAAATGGCACATAATACATTGTCTCGATGAGAGGATCATTTGACCTAACTCTAACCCAAGCTGATAAAGGAGACAGCAAAAAGATAGTTTTAGAAACTGTAAGTATAAGGGGCAGGTAGTCATGAACTCAAACGGCCTAAAGATTGCAATGAAGAGCACCAGAACAAATACCAGTGTGTGATAAGTGTGGATACATATTCATGAATCCTTAAAGAAACTGTTTAACCAATAGTAAGATAAAATTGAGATACTATCAGCTGCATTATAAAATGTAAAATTCATGGTGAGTAAACCTTGAGGGATAAGAATGCAGCCCCTGAAATTTTAATAGGAGACATTCCAAAATGTATTAAATATTATATTTAATAAGAACAAGATCATGACCAGAATTTATTCTGAAAATTTCTTCAATTTACACTGATAAGCTTTCCATACAACAACCAGTTGGGCTACAAAACAAACATTCAATAGTTATGTCAGGAATTGGTTTCTGTCTGGAGTTTCCAAATCACCAAAGTTGACAGGTTTAGATAATATACTGTGTCTCTATAGAGACTTAATATTTTTAGATGAGATGGAAGGAAACATGGTTCTCAAGAGATGAAGCAGGAATGCTGTAAATGATGGTTTGTTATGGTTACTATGGGATGATTAGTATGTCCTGAATGAATTTTGGAACAATATTAATGAAGAATAGTAGTGAAGGAAATGTGTTTCATGGCTAACTAGTCCATGATCTAGTCCATGATTTATATCTGCTTTGCACTGATTCTTGTCCATGGAGGCAAACAGACTGATGCTGGGCGTCCCTACTGTCCAAAGAGGAATACAACTACCTATCAATTTAGTCTCTCCTCATGAGTCATCAAAACTGGATGACTATTAGCTGAAGTTTTTGGATTCAGCCAGATGAACAGGTCAATCCCTCTGGTTGAGCACTAATCCCAAAGAAAAAAGATCAAATTCAGCAGTCACTGTTTTCTTTCCACTCAACTTGCTGGTGTACCAGAGAACTATGGTGGTATGATATGGCATATTTGTAAGATTTTGAAAATCTGAAAAGTCTGAAGTCTGCTATGAGCTCATCAACAGAGAGCTACACTCAGGATTGGTATATGTCCTTTGCACTTGGAGAGAATACTCCCATCGGGACTTCCAGGTGTAGAAAATAGCAAACTAACATGTCTCCAAATAGCAGAGATGGAGACTGGTAGAGGGGCAGCAAGCCCAGGCCAAGGAAGCTTCTCTGGACAAGGAGAAACCAAGAGATTGCTCACTTGTGCTTCAGAAGGCAGCTCCGCATGAGGAAACCCACATGATCCAGAGGGAACCTGCAAATGACTCATGAGTAGAGTACTGGGAGCGGAGGAAGAATATCAAGCTCGCAGTCTCATGTGGAGCCTGCTTCAAGGACACTGGGTTGGCTTAAAACTCCACTTTCTAGAGCACGTTTGGATTATAAAAAATTTTAAAGTTACAGAGATCTTCCAAGCAGTAGAGCAACTAAACCACCTGGTGGGAGTTCCTTCGACCCAGGGCAAGATTAAAGTAAAAAGTGAAGAAATAATTATAAGGATTTAAAAACAATTAAAAGCAAAAGGCTTGCGAAGGGTTTGAACTACGAAAGTTAAAACAAATTAAGGGGACAGCCAAATTTGGAATATTGTTTATTTTAAAGTACTTTTGAATTAATTAAATAAATAATATATACCTCCCTGGGAACAAGGACTGTTTAAATTTACTAAGAGGAATGACTGGTTGGTTTTATTAAACAAAGAGATAAGGGAAAATTGTGAAAGATCATGTGACTATAGAACCATGAAGTGCCAAATGGGATTAAAGGGTTAAGGATATAGAGAAAGGCAGCCAGGCAGCCAGGCAGCCAGGCAGCCAGGCAGCCAGGCAGCCAGGCAGCCCTTTATTTTTTACTTCCCCTTATAATTATAATTATAAATTAAAACAGAGAAATGGCTACTACTGGGAAACAGCAAAAACCACAGAAGGGAGAAGAGGATAATTGACAGAGCAAATAACAGAAAAAAGGATCATGCAAGAGATATTACAAAGGATGTCTGAAGAACTGGGGAAGAATGTTACAGGACCAATGACGGCATCAGTGACTGAATCTGTTAAGAGAGATCTGGCTATACTTGAAGAGAGAATGGAGGAAAGATTTGCAAATATGGAAGAAAATATGAATTAAAAATTTGAAGAATCTGTAATACAAATTACAGGTTAAACAAATTAAAGACAAAATAGAAATTTTGGAAAAGAAGAGAGAAATAATACACCAAGAGATGGAAAAAAACCTAAATAATATGGCATACAGGAATTAAGAGAGAAAGAATTTTGAGGAAAGAAAAATGACTCGTGGCAAATTAAACTTCTACAACGCCAACTTTCCATGTTAAAAATAAGAAAAATGGAAATAAAAATGAACTTTGTAAAATAGAAGAATTTTGAGTTTGCAAATAAACTGGGGAAATGTTTGGTATATAAATGAAAGAAAGAAGAGAAAGAAAGAAAAGAAAGTGAGAAGAAAATATTAAAATTACAAAATGGGAAAACTATGGTAATAGACAATGCAAATATGCAAAGAATCAGTATCATACAAAATTATACTGTATAAGGGAGAAGAAATTTCCCTGGCAAAAGTGGATGAATATTTAAAGAAACAAAATTTACCAAAGATAACCAACAGACAAAAGCAGATGATGAATGGAGCTGTAACAATAAGGGAAGTCTATGAGGCTATAAAAAAAAAAAAGGAAAATGCCTAGTCCAGATAGACTGCTGGCCTCCTATTATAAACATTTTGAAGATGAATTGGTACAACCTCTTCAAAAAATGATGAATTCCATTCTAGATAATGAAAGGATACCAGACAGCTAGACAGGTGCAAATATAGCACTAATTCCTAAAAGAGGTCAAGACCCAACTTTGCCAAAAAATTGACCAATATCTTTACTGAACAATGATTATAAAATATTTATGATAATATATTAGAATATTTGGAGCAGCATAATGCAAAACAAGCCATGTTGATATTTCTTGATGTGGAGAAATCATTTGATAATTTGAACTGGACTTTTATGTTTAAAATTCTGGAAGATATGGATCTTGGAGAAAATTGTATTAAATGGGTAAAATCAATATATATTTCACAAATGGCACAATTATAGTTAATGGTGAATAACCACTGTTATTCATTCTAGTTCTTGAAGTTTTGAATAGAGATATAAGACGTGATAAGAGAATAGCCAGGCGAAGATTAAAAAAGAAGTATATAAACTAAGGGCACTTGCAGATGATTTGGTTTTAGTTTTGGAAAATCCTATGGAAGGAATAGAAATATTAATGGAAAAATTAAAGGAATTTGGTGCATTACCTGGATTTAAAATCAACGATCAGAAAATGAAGATGCTAACAAAAATAAGAGGATGGAAGTTCAAAAAGAATTGATGGCAAAAACTGGTTTTCTGATTCAGAAAGAAGTAAAATACCTGGGTATTACT